ATCGTATAGAAAAAGTGCACTCGTACGAAGCCGGGGCGGGCAGATAGGAAAATATAAAAAAGCCGATCAAGTGCGAGTCGGACTCGCGCAACGAGGGTTCCGTACAAAATTATCAAGTTTAAACATTTTTTTTTGTGATATAACTACAAATTTACGGTGTTCGGATTTCCCCCTTTACTTGTGCTACATGACATTGCTTCTTGCCACATTTCATGATTCCAGGATAACGGGAAGTACCCTATAGGCTTTGATTCCCTTTGCAAATGTCAAAATACGCAATATAAATGGAACATAAACGGCCGTATCTTTTGGTTGCGTCGATTTAGAAGCTTGATTTTTTCACTGCTTTAAGAGATCGCAGACCTGAGTATATGATATTAATTTCAACTTGGTACCTCCGCACGTTCCTAAGAAAAAGGATCTTAACGCTTCTTTGCATAATGGTGGAAAGTTCCATCATAACATTGAATGCCCAAAAATTATATAAAAGAACAAGTTCACTTTAAGTTGATCGTGTCTGGATACATTTTTAATGTCCATTGCAGAAAAAAAAAACATAGCTATCAAATCTATTTTTTTAACAATTTTTCCTTTAATTTTGAACATGAATTATATCACCTTGATTTATTTCACCAATAAAAAATATCATGCAAAGAAGGGTTAACAGGCGGATTGACGAACAACGAAGTAAAACCTATAAGGGTTTCGATTATTCCTGTAAAGGTACGGAACCCTGACGTAAATATGAACTGTTTTAGTTTGTCTTAGATCCTCCATATTTACACAAATGGTTTCACAGTAATTTTCGGCCGCAAACCCATTGCTAATGTGTGCCACCAATAAAAGACGAACAAAGCTTGCAGACACTGAAACATTAGAAAGCAATAATGCACAGATCAAGTGACCTCGTCTCCCTCACACAGCTGTGGCAAGCTAATGACTTTTTTGGAAGGTCCCAGTGTAAGTGACCCAGTCAAAGTAACTGTAAACTTTAAAAGTTAGTAAGTTAGTCGTAAGTGAGTAAGTCAGACGTGACAATAGCGTCTAACTTAATTAACACTATTTTTTTTATAGATTAAAATGGAATAGTGACCTTGCCCGCCTATCGGTATACACCGACGAGGCACCAGTGGAAGATGATAGGTGAGAATGAATGCAAGTCATTTGGCCTACAATGATGAATTCGACAAGAATTAAACATGATGGTTTCCAGGGGGAGCCGCGTGGAAGTCAATCTGAGAGGATCAATTGCTAGCAACGGGGCTATTAGACCTCCATGCTAACAATCCCATTCCCCCCAATTAACAGTATTACATTATATCTATGTTCCTTTAAATGGGTGATAATGGAATGGTCTGTCTGTTAGAACGAAATCAGGTTAATATAATAGTTCCTGTAGCCTATGGATGCCTGCAACATTAGCGGTGTCACGTGCAAGTTGCCGACCCTGAAGTAACCTTTATATACCCTTTTTGAACCCTGTAGTCACTAAGGAAAACCTTGGCAGGGAGCTCAATCCACAGCCTGAACGTTTTTTTTTATACACCTTAGAATAGCAAACAAACTGACGGCCAACCTGATGGAAAGTGGTAACCGTCGCCTATAGACATGAGCAGTACCATGGACATAACAGAGTATACTGTTTCGCCCATGATACCACCCATGCGTTGCCATTCCTGAGGACTAAGATGTTATTCCTCTGTACCCTGTAACTTCACGCCATATCCCACCTTTCAAACTGAAACACAGCCATGCAAACACAACTGCTCCACGGTAGAAACACGAAGGGGACAGAAATGGCTAAGCAAACGACTTATGTACAAAGTTTCCCTCTGTATACATTTGTATTTACTACTGTAATCTTTTGGAGGTAACAATAAACTGTATTTAACTATCTATATTCCCCCTTGAAATAGTCAGAGGCGTTAGTCAACTGTGAAGTCAACTTGTCCATAGATATTTGTCAGTCCGTCTCAAAAACCACAAAGGTTGTAAATTCGAAACTGGCCACCACGTTACTTTGTAGGTCAAATTTAATTCTCGAACAAGTTTGCGGTAATGGCGGCCATTATTACAAAAAGCTATATGCATATTAGTTTATATTATTATACGACGTATAATTAAAATGGATTTGTTTTCAGAATACTTCACAAAGTAGGAAGGAGGTTGGAGGAGGAGGAAGGAGTAGAAAAAAATTGAGAAATTTGGTTTTCTGAAAGGTGCAAAATGGTATGGAAACCCCGTCTGCGTTAACGGGATACGCTAGCGAAACACCAGTGAAGGGTGAAAGAAGAAAATGAAAACAGGCTAGTTAGCTCATCATGATGAATTCATCAGGAATTAACCATGATAGTTTCCAGGGAGAACCGCGAGGAGGTGGATCTAGTTAGTATATTGCTAGCAATGGGATTCTCAGTCTCCATCACTAACAATCCCTTTCCCCCCATGTGAAATTATTTTTTTTAGTTACAATTTACTTAATCTATGCCAGTATATGAGCGGTCAAGACACTCTTAGATTTATAACCTGTCCCACCCAATACAACAGGATGGGATTTAAGAACAAGGTCTTAAATAAAAGGAATGATAAAATAAAAACTGTAAATCATATGATTGCCACCTTTCTTCTTATGCAAATATAATTAGTAAAAAGAGGACGAAAGATAAAGCATCAGTTGCTATTTTTCTCAATTCATAGCAGGCTAGTGTATAGAAAATGTTATTCGGCCGTATAACCCTGCCAAATTCAGATACAACCTGCTTGCATACTTTCTACATAAGCTGTGTCGAATATATAATCTAGTAATGTAGAATTTGTCTTTGACAAATAATTGACATATCAAACATTTTCTATACACTAGCCTGCTGTGAATTGAGAAAAATAACAACTGATGGTGTATCTTTCGTCCTCTTTTTACTAATTATATTTGCATAAGAAGAAAGGAGGCGACCATATGATTTACAGTTTTTACTTTATCATTCCTTCTATGTAATTCCTTGTTCGTAGGGATGGGATAATCCATTTTACCGGTAATCGTCTCTATTAATAATCTGTATAATTAAAAAAAAAAACTAATTTAGTCGATGGAACGATGTGCAAGAATAGGTTTAAAATATGCTCCGTATTAAACAATACGTGGAATAATTACATACTAATGAAGAGATTACAAAGACTGATTAAAATACGGCCTGAACAATTGCTGTCGACTTTATGACTAATTAGGAAGGTGACAAACAAAATCAATTTAAAAATAAATAAATGTCATAATTTTTTTTTTTAATGCATTCATGTAAACAATGTTGTTGCAATGTTTTTATGAAGAGTAAATATATGAACCCTGATTATTTGTTTAGAATTATTTTGTTTAATTGTGCTACCATTTTTTTTTTTAATTAATGATAATGAAAGAAAGAAGGGGAAAGGGATTGTTAGTAGTTTTGACAGTCCCGTTGCTAGCAGTATACCCTATCAGGTCGACCTGTACGTGGTTCCTCCTGGAAACCATCGTGAACAATTCTTGTTGAATTCGTCACGATGGGCTAACTGACCTGCTTCATCCTCACCTATCATCACTCACTGGTGCCCCGCTGGTGTATACCGATAGCGCGGGTGGAATTAACGTTCCATTATCACCCATTAAAAAAATGAAAGAAAGAACGAAATATTTTTATGCGTGTAAACTTATATTTAAGCATTTTTGAATCGTAACATTTTTTTTTCATTATCGATCACATACTAATGGTAGCGGAATTAAATGAAATAACTCTAATTATATAACCAGTGATATGGGTTCCTGCATGATAACACCTAGTCCAGTAAAATATTTACATAATCCTGTTTGGGTACAGCAAAGTAGATAGATAATCAATAAAAAATTAATATGTATCTAACATACGTTTAGATAAAGACTACTTTTTTCTAATTTTAAATAAAATTCATCTTGGGTGTTCTGTTTTCAAATATAGATAGATAGATAAATAATTTATTTGAGTCATTTATGACACACGTAAATTTACAAATGAGTTTATACAATCAAATATAAAATAAGAATATTCCGCATTTCCGCACGAAATCCCGTGTTACAAATGCTTAAATTTAAAAAAAAAGTTTACGTAGTTACTACTCAAATGAGTTATTTAAAAATATAAAGTAAGTTTATATTACGTACTTAGGTAATTGATTGTCGATAAAATGTACAGTTTTAACTTGATTACCAGACTGTACAAAAATCGTTTGCTTGGGTACCTCTGTCCGATTCGTGTTTCAACCGTGAAGCAGTTATGTTTGCATGGCTGTGTTTCGATTTAAAGGGTGGGATATGGCGTAAATTTATAAGGCACAGAGGAATAATACCTGAGTCCTCAGGAAAGGCAATGCATGGGAGGTATCATGGGCGAAACATTATATTCTGTTATGTCCATGGTACTGCTCATGTCTATAGTCGACGGTTACCACTTACCATCAGGTGGGCCGTCAACTTGTTTGCCATTCTAAGTTGTATAAAAAAAAAATTACCCGATATCGTCGGCGTTATCGAGTTTATGTTAATTGACCGGGTTAAAAAGTAGTGTATGTCCTTCTACATCTCAAACACTACGTGTATGCGAATCGATCGATTCAATCGATTGGTTGAGTGGTTAAGACGCCAAGAGGAAATAAACAAATGAACTAACTTTCACGTTTAATATTAAAAAGAGTCAAAATTTATATATTACAATAATATCCAATTAATTCTCATTGAATTGAGGCTCATTTCAATCTTAAAGACTTCTTATTGTTATGTACATATTTTAAAATAACAATTATGACATTATCAAAGCATATATTACAGGTAAATATTGTGTAAACACTTATTTTTACTAATTTATTTATATCTATATTTGTTTAAACATGACTAAAAATAAGTATAACTGGAATATCAACCTGTTTTAAATAAAACCAGTGTTAACTACAGTTAACTCGAAAAATGTCAACTAAATAAGAACAGTAAAATAATATACCGTATAAATTGTCTTCAGAATCACAATATTGAATTCGAACTAAAAAAAAAAAGAAAGTCACTTTATCGATAAATTGCTAATAAGGTGTCACATCACTAACACAATGTACGGAATTCCGTTTTCAAAATTCAAATTAGTTACCGCGAAGCAGCAGTTTTATTTTTTTATTTTTATACTTTTTCTCGGAAGTGTAGAAAGTGCGTGAGACGCGCGTTATACCGTCCGCGGATTTCGCCTTACTAAACTATGTAAACGAATGAACAGTTAGCTAAGTACATAGGACAATAAACTGTCTCCGTTAAATGGCGAAAGTCAAAAGATGCGCGTTTTGTACACACAAATAATTCACGTTTATTATGGCATTTATTCGAAATGGTCTAGTTTCACTTGACCTTTAACTTTGTTAGTACAATTTTTTTTTATTTATTTTTTTATAAACGACCATCGAAAACTCTATGCTCATCTTAGATAAAGATAATTAAAAGACAAAATAAGGTTAGTAGCTACAAATTTATTTTAATTACTTATATAGCCTACATAGTTAATTTTTAAACTTTCGCGTTGTTGATACATATTTTAAATTCACGATCGGGACGAGGATAATGTTGTAGTTTTAATACTGGCTGTTGACACTGAGGTTTTTTAGAACAATGTATTATTTGTATGTCAGATTTTTATAAGACATGTCTCGTATTTTTTTTTTCACTAAACTTATTATTTTACATCTTAAATACATATATGTTTTATTACTGCATCCTGCTATTTACAACAGATAAACAGTACCTACATACATATATGATTTTCAAACGACCAGCATACTCGTAGAAAAGGATTTTTAAATAGTGATAAACAATTAAATATTAATAACATGGCTGCCTTAGATAAAGTAATTAAAGCTCTTAGATTTACATCTGAATTTAATGGAAATTCTAACGCGTTAACTGGATTTATTAAATTGTGTGAAGTAGTCGTCGAGCGAGAATGCGACGGCAGTGAATGAGGCAAACTAGCATTAATACATTGTATTTTTAACCGACTGCAAAAAAGGGAGGTTTTTCAAATCGGTTATATTTTTTTATGTTTGTTACCCCATAACTGCGTCTGTTGTGAACTAAATTTGGAAAATTCTTTTTATTTTTATCTGAAAAGATATACTTACACATTGTTCAATAGAAACTTAAACAAAATGTGTATGTATATGCATGTGTGTATGTGTATATATATATATGTGTGACAAAATATATATGTAAAAATGTATGTTAATCTAAATTGTTTATGTATCTAACGTTTATATATTAGTTAATAAGTTTTGTAAGTAGAAGTAGGCCCAAGACTTCACGACACAGGGAATCCTAGTGCGAAGTCTTGGGAACAAATGTAAAATTGTAACATGTATTTTTTATTCTTCAAAATTAAAATCGATCCAGTGATTTAGTTTTAACATCAAAATGGTTCTGTCACAATTAAAGTAAGTTTTCTTTAATTATAACGGTAGAATAACATTAAAGATTTCATATATTAATATATGTAAATAGGCATTATTATTGCTGTCTTTTATTTATTTATTTATTTATAGGATTATCAACATAAGATTTTTTTTATACAACTTAGAATGGCAAACAAGCTGACGGCCCACCTGATGGAAAGTGATAACCGTCGCCTATAGACATGAGCAGTACCGTGGACATAACAGAGTGTACTGTTTCGCTCATGATACCCCCCATGCGTTGCCATTTCTGAGGACTCAGGTGTTATTCCTCTGTACCCTGTAAATTCACGCCAAAAGTTTCATCCCAACCATCTGGACGAGTGCGTTTTTCAAGGCACTTTCTCCCACGCACAACCACTCTTTGGAATCAACTTCCAGCAGCAGTATTTCCGAACCGATACGACAACATAACCTTCAAGAAAATAGCATATCCCTTTTTAAAAGGCCGGCAGCACACCTGCAATGCCGCTGGTGTTGTGGGTGATCATGGGCGGCGGTAGTCACTTACCATCAGGTGAGCCGCATGCTCGTTTGCCCCCTGTATTGTAAAAACACCAATTTGCAGGAATATCTTAAAGAACGAACGTAACGGCCGATGGTTAAGCGAATTTACGTTACAAATGGTTTTGTTCGCCCAATGGTCGGCTGGTAGAGAACACCGTCCGGTGTAAAGTCCGCCAGATATACATATAATTTTACTGTGCATTAAAGTTTATATAATAAATTCTCACCTGTGGGCAGGAGCGCCACAGTACCAACTCCTTCCGTTAGACCGCATTCAAAGTCGGGCGGCTCGAATTATTGATAGTCAACGCCTTACTGTCCGACTTGACCCACTGAAACTGCGCAGAGATGTTGCATCTCTGTGCATCTTCTACCGAATTTATCATGGGGAGTGTTCTGAGGAATTGTTCAGATTGATACCTGCTGCTGATTTTCACCACCGTACAACCCGCCATAAACTTTTTTTTTAATACAACTTAGAATGTCAAACAAGCTGACGTCCCACCTGATGGAAAGTGGTAACCGTCGCCTATAGATATGAGCAGTACCATGGACATAACAGAGTATACTCTTTCGCCTATAATACCCCTCACGCGTTGCCATTCCTGAGGATTAAGGTGTTATTCCTCTGTACCCTATAACTTCACTGCCATATCCCACCCTTCAACCATCACCCTGTTTCATGGTAGAAACACGAATGGGACAGAGGTACCCAAGCAAACGACTATTGTACAAAGTACTTTTATAGTTATATAAGAATTGGGGTTATTTCGAATTAGACTTTATAAAGTATTCCCTTAAGTAATGATTTGGATAAATATTAATTTAATGTGTTTTTAAAGTTTTGTTACATTAGTAAATATTAATGTTTTTTGCAAAAACAACTGTTTTTTTGCAAAAAACAGTTTGCAAAAAGCCAACGTCACGCGGTGTTCCCAGGCGGTCACCCATCCAAGTACTGACCGCGCCCGACGTTGCCTTAACTTCGGTGATCGGACGAGAACCGGTGTTTTCAACGTGGTATGGACGTTGGCGACCAATCTTCCATAAAAATTTTACCCTAGAAAGACTTTAATATTTTTCAAATTTAATAAATAAATAGAATAAATAGAATTGATAACCAATGAGAAATGAAAATTCTTAAATAGCGACCCCGTACAAGCAAACGCAGTGTAAAACGACCCTCCATTAAATGGAGTCACGACCTAAAATGCATTGCAGGGAGGCAGTGGATGCAGGTGGCTCAGGACCGTTCCTTATAGCAGTCTATAGGGGAGGCTTATGTCCAGCAGTGGACGGATAATGGCTGAGATGATGATATTGATGATGTTAAATTATTTAGTTTATAATAGATAAATAAAAAACTACTCTACAGATTTTAAAAATAATTTTAATAATTAAAATCGATTATAGGCTATATATTATTTAAAAAATTAAAAAGACAAAAATTTGCCTATTAAAGCTAATAGAAATACAAAATTTTCTATCAATGTATCCCTGTAAAGCCGGAGCGCATCACTAGTTTATTACTTACAGGAAACGTACAATTAATTCAAACGGCCATTCTTTTTTTAATTACAATACCTATGTGAATGCGCGGGAATTGATTTCACAATCTGTGGATAACGAGACAGTAAAGTGTTACACTATTAAAGTTAATTAAAAAAAGTCAAGACTTTTAAATAATTAAATAAATAAATAATTTGAATAATTAAGTAGTTCAATTACATTTCATTCCATATAAATGGTAGCGTGATGATATTACGCGTACGGTCGTAAACATAATGTTCACTTATCAGATTTCAATCTGACCTCAACTTAAAATACACCATAGACATTATGAGCGCCGCAGTGTATTCAGTGACGTCCGTGATGCTTCATATTATGTATGTGACGACTACTATTTTCCATCAGGTCTACTGTCAGTTTGTTGGCTAGGTTACATTGACATAAAAAAACAATGCAACAAACGTACATAACTCTAAGAATATAATACAATGAATAAATATAATGCAATATATTGCATTATATATAAATATAATGCAATATATTGCATTATATATAAATATAATGCAATATATTTATTTTTAATTTTCCGAGAAATTATGATTTATACTTTTTCTAGATATTATATCTACGACAGGGACAACAGTTACAGAGTACATTCTTTTATGACGTAGAATAAGAATATTTGACATAATTTTTTGATTTACTCTTATACTGTGATTTGTCAAAAAAGTGGTATTTTGTCGTCATCATTTTTTGTTTTGTTAATATTTAGAGAATGTTTCTTTCCTAAATATGGATCGAACTATAGATTCTAAGTTAGAGAAACAATCAATCTATGAGATATATCGAGGATGTCGGCTGTGCGGTGCTGGTGCTGGCTACAAAATGCCCATAATACAGACTGTTGTCGATTTGGACGGGAACGGTATGGAATTGAGACAAAAAATACAAGAATGTGTACAAATCGAGGTAAACAATGTAACTTATACAATATTCCTTCCATAATCAATGTATAAAAAGTTAAAAAGTCTTTTTTGGAAAGGATAAAAGTCATAAATGCTGAATAGTTAGGATGATCAGTTTCTGTCAAGTTTGGGATCAGTGAGTAACATGCTTAGGTCATTATAAGTTAAAATGAAACTTCAATAAACGCTCAGTCAATGTTTGGTCAGTGAATAGCCTTTTTGGCTGATTCATTGTATTTTTCATGTTATACAGAAGTCAACTACTTTCTAAGTATATGTTAGTAAAAATGCTTACTGTTATTATTTACTTGAGTTTTGTTTCTACTTCTTGACGGTTTAACAGTTCAATCAATCTTCATATTATACCATATCAAGCTGTGATTGTCCACTGTTTAACATAGACCTCAAATACATTGCAGGGAGTCAGTGGATGCAGGTGGCTCAAGACTGTTCCTTATGACAGACTATGAGGAAAGTCTATGTTCAGAATAATAGCTGAGATGATGATGATGATATATTTCATTTTATTTATTTATTTATTTATTCATTAGTATATATATGTGTACATGGCGGACTTAATCCTAAAAGCATTCTCTCCCAGTCAACCGTAGGGAAGTGTCAGAATACTCGAATGCGGTACTACTAATTATTGATATATATACATACTAAAATTACATATATAAACAAAAAAATATATATTTACTTTTAATATAAAAAATATACATGTATATAATCCCTCTCATGTTTCTTTTTTCTCTTGATTGACTTTTAGGTATTTTTTATACGGGCTGGAAGGTACAGATTACAAAAAAAAACAGGAAAATCATTTGAATTTTTCTAGAAAAAATTTTCTACTGATTTCCAGTTCAGAATAATACTCTGAATTCTCTGTTTCAGTTTTTGCCATCCTGTCCCTTACACCCTGTGAGAGTTTTTACTAAATATTACTGGGAATATTATTAGCAAAACCGTCCAATTAAGGAGAGGTCTATGTTCAGCAGTGAACAGTTAACGGCTGGTATGATGATGATAAAATAAATAAAAGAAAATATTTATTTTATTTTTACCAGAGGGAGACTTTGTACAAAAGTAATTTGCATTGGTACCTCTGTCCCGTTCGTGTTTCAGCCATGAAGCAGTTGTGTTCGCATGGCTGTGAGCACAACTGCTTCATGGCTTTAAGGATGGGATATGGCATGAATTTACAGGGTACACAGGAATAACACCTGAGTCCTCAGGAATGGCAACGCATGGGTGGTATCATGGGCGAATCAGTATACTCTGTTATGTCCATGGTACTGCTCATTTATTATTATTATACAACAGTATGCATTTCAAGTTTCACTAAATTAGTAACAACTAAATATACTGGCAATCCCATTCTATCATTAATTCTAAAACTATAGTCGATCCTATTACAATCACCATGTGGGCTTATAATTATGAGCATTTTTTTTTTAATTCCAGATAAACCCAGATGACAAAATGCCCCCTCTAATATGCGAGCTATGCGTGGACAAAGTGAACGACTTTTATGACTTCATGGAGATGTGCAAACAGACCAACAAACGCACGAGGCTGCGGCTGGGGCTCCCAGTTCAGGTGCCTGCTAAAAATAAAGCTGTAAGTTGTTACCATGCCATTTGAGATCTGTGGCTTTTGTAAATCTACTGTTAGGGTTCTGGGGGACTTATGTACATGGAGACTTATGGATGTACTTGGAGGAAAATATGCCACAAAAGGCATACTCAATGCTAGTAGCATTCTCTACCAGTCAACCTTTGTGGTGAACAGTGGATCACGGACGCGGCACTACATTACTGGGATAGGTAAAGAGAATAATAATAATAATTAAATAATATTAAATCCAAAAATACATGGTACAATTTTACATTTGTTCCCAAGACTTAACACTAGGATTCCCTGTGTCGTGAAGTCTTGGTCCCTCATCTACTTACAAAACTTATTAACTAATATATAAACGTTAGATACATAAACAATTTAGATTTACATACATATTTTGTCATATATATATATATATATATATATAAGCCCACCTGATGGAAAGTGGTGACCGTCGCCTATAGACATGAGCAGTACCATGGACATAACAGAGTACATATACTGTTTCGCCCATGATACCCCCCATGCGTTGCCATTCCTGAGGACTCAGATGTTATTCCTGTGTACCCTGTAAATTCACCGCCATATCCCACCCTTCAAACTGAAATACAGCCATGCAAACACAACTGCTTCACGATAGAAACACGAATGGGACAGAGGTAGCCAAGCAATCGATCTATAAATGGAGGGGATTTTTGTTAATGGATGACAATGGGATGGTAACCCCGCCTGCGATAACGGTGAAGGATGATAGGTGAGGATAGAAAGACACACAGGTGGAGGGGGGTGGTGGTTGCATTCGCGATGTTACAGAACCCATATATATAGACGAAGATTCTAACGAGCCTCTCTCAAAGAAAGCCAAGCCAAAGAGTTTGAGAGTTAAGAAGGAAGCAGATATTAAAATTAAGGTGTATTAATACAGTATTAATACAGGATTAACATGGTGGTCGTCCTTATCATATCAGCCTTTAACTGTCCACTGCTCAAAATAGAACTTCCTCTATTGAGGGGTTTTGTTAGTAGTCGCCACGCTTGACGATCAGATTGGCAACCGCAGTTAAGATTTAGTTATGTACTCGTATATAAAAAAATAGATAATAATGGTATGGTAACCCTGCCTGCGCTAACGGTATACGCTGGCGGAGCACCAGTGAGGGATGATAAGTGAAGATGAAAGTACGCCAATTAGCCCATCGTGAAGAATTTCATAAGACTTAACCAAGACTATTTTTCAGGGGGAACCGCGTGGAAGTCGACCCGACAGGGTATATTACTACTAACAATGGTGCTATAGCATCCCCATTATTAACAATCCTTTTCCCCCAGAGGGATTTTGCTGTCTATCCCTCGACTTGTTCTCTTAGTCGCCTCTTACGACACCCACAGGGTTGAACGTCTAAAGGCACAACCCAGAGCATCCTGACTTGATAAATGAATTGTCCCAACAGGAATCGAAACCTGGACCGAACTATACAAAAAAGTCGTACCACGGAGATTGTCGTATTAACGGTTTCATGAATTCCACAGGTGGAAAACACCAGAGAGTCCCGGGCAACGCAGACCACAGCCAGTAGACCGACTAGGAACTCCAAGCTTCCATCGCCGAGCCCACCTCGGTGCCGGAGCAGCAGAGAGGAGAATATAACCTTAAGTAGTTTAAAAGTAAGCAATAAATGACGACATCAGTGTCAGCTGTTAACCTCCCAACTGTCCGCTCAACAACCGCTGAGCGGACGCGACAAAAAATGCGCTTTTGTGTCGCGTCCGCTCAGCGGACATTTTTTTTTATACAACTTAGAATGGCAAACGAGCTGACGAAGTTGTATATAAAAAAAAAAATTCTACAGACAGAAAACAAGAGAGATCCCGGGTCAGGCCAAGCCGCGGTCGGCAGAATAACCAGGAACTCCAAACTTCCATCACCAAGTCCACCTCGGAGCAGGAACTGCAGGGAGGAGAATATGACCTTGAGTAGTTTAAAGGTAAGCATTAAATAATTATTTTATATATTTAAATAACTTTATTGACCTAAAAAAAATATGGTAGACCAGAGGGGGACTTTGTACAAAAGTCGATTGCTTGTATACCTCTGTCCCATTCGTGTTTCTACCGTGAAGCAGTTGTGTTTGCATGGCTGTGTTTCGGTTTGAAGGGTGGGATATGGCGTGAATTTACTGGGTACAGAGGAATAACACCTGAGTCCTCAGGAATGGCAACGCATGGGGTATCGTGGGCGAAACAGTATACTCTGTTATGTCCATGGTACTGCTCATGTGTATAGGCGACGGTTACCACTTTCCATCAGGTGGGCCGTCAGCTTGTTTGACATTCTAAGTAGTATTAAAGAAATTCACTAGCTTCTTAACTAGAGAGCCTGTTTTTTATGATATATATATATATATATATATATATATAGAGAGAGAGAGAGAGAGAGAGAGAGAGATTAATAAATTATTTTGTTTTCAGCAACAAGTACAAAAAGACAACAAATCTAAAGATAAACAGTGTAAAGATACAAAAGACGTACCAAAGTCTATACTGAAGAGGAGAGATACAGTGGTACGTAGCTATTTGTCTTAAACCATTAATGTTCGCTACTAATTCATTCTCTACATTAAGGGA